CCCCTTCCCAGATGGCACCCTCCCAAAGCCTCCTCCCCTCACTAGAGCCCTTACACTCTGTCATCCCTGCTACCGTTCGCTGTGTTGTTGGCACCCCCAGCCGTTCCCCACTATTTGTCCATCCGGTGAATCTAGTCAGCCTATCTAGAGGTCTTTGTTTCAGGAAGGTCAGCTGTTCCTCATCTAGCAGCAATCAGTTGTCACTATTCCTTTAGATAAGATTAGAGTTTGCTGTTTATTTTCCCAGTTCTATGCCGGGTTCCTATCTGGGCGTCCCTTTGGCCACCCTGGCCAACAATTCAAAAGAAGATATTGCCTATCTGGCATTGTTTCTTGTTATGTAGCCTTTAGCTATACATATGGACTCTTAAAAAATTATATTGGTCCCTTTAATCTTTGTTTATACTTTCCTTTGGGGTGTTTAAGGCCATACACTTGGCCCAGATAAACATATTTATTTATATTCTTAAGGTCGTTTGAGGATCTGTTCCTCAGGGGTCACGTGGGCTTGGGAGGAGCCCCTGACTCCTTTCTTTTACCAGTTCCACCTATGTGAAGATAAGACAAAGGCCCTACTCGACTATGGCTGGCTTTGCTTGGAAGCTTGGAGGAAATGATTCCTCTGTGTTGACCGTCTTCTTTGTAGACTGGACACTGGTTCAAGTCTAAACGTTTTCAGAAATGTTTAGAAGTTTTATATAGAGTCACTCCTTGCTCCTCACAAGGAGTGAATCAAGAGTATAAAACACATTTATCTTGCATAATTCTTGATACAGTTCACACCGTGGATTATCAACAGTCTCCACAGTACCTGGAGAGTCTTTAACAACTTTAGGTGTAATCCAACTGGATCCCTCGTTGACTTTCAGCTCAGGCTGACCACAAGCCCATCAGCTGTGGCTGGATGATATCTGGCAATCTTACACAGGCGTTTTGTAACTTCCACGTTTCTCCATTGCAAAATGGTAATAATTCGTACCTGTCTCAAAGTGCTGTAGGGGGTAGTCAGACGGTGAGAGTGAAAGTATCGCAGCAGAAATTAATTAATTCACTCATCATTTAACGGACCGTTAAGCTCCTAGGCCGCTATCACAGTGCCACACTTCTTCGGCTACAGTACTTAGTGAACTGGATCTAGCCACTGGGCTTTTCTCCCACGGGACTCAGGGTGGTGGCCTTATTAAAAATGGCGCGCGCGGCTTCGGAGATGAGTGCGGCGGCGCGGATTCCCGGTGCCCTCTGACCTGCTGGCAGCGGGCGGAGGGGTGCCGGGCGCCGCCATATTGGCTGTTGTCCTGTGAGGGGAGCGGCGGCGGCGGTGGCGCGAGTGGAGTCAACGAGCCGGGGAGCGGCGCGAGAGGCAGTATGACTCGGAGGCGGAGCAGGCCGAGTGGCGGCGCGGGCCGGCAGGAGCGGACACGGGCAGTGGGGCTGCAGAAGCCCCAAGCGCCGGAGCCGCAGCCGCCGCCGAGCCTGGAAGCGGGAGCGGGTGCAGGGCCCCCAGAGGTGCCTGCGGAACCCGACTGCGACGGCTCCCGGGAGGAGGACGAGCCCAAGCTGGCTCTATGCCCTCAGGTAGGAGCGAGCAAGACGACTCCGACTGCTCGGGTGCTTTCACCTCCCCGGATCGGGAGCCGGACGGGATTGGGCATGGACCATCCCTCCCTGTTGGGGACAGATCCCAAGTCCTGGACAGAAGTGCCCCCCCACCCTTTGCCTGGACTGGAGGCTGGACCCCTCTCCAAAGTCAGAGCTGGGCCCGCCCTCCTGCGACTCTTCTGAACCTACCCCCTCTCCCCCCCGGAGCTTAAACGTACTGGCCAGACACCATCACTGGGATTGGCTCAGGTCCCGAGGTCTCTGCCCCCTCTACTTCCCTTGGACCCACCTGAGGCCCCCCAGCCCCAACAGATCATCTCAGGGTGTTGGAGCCTGCAAAAGGCTGCAGCCGCCGTCTCCCCCCGGGAGCGGCTCCATTCCTTCCCCTGCACTGACTGCAGCCACTATCCCTCAGCAGCTGTACCCCAGCATCTGCCCCTTGGGACCGCCCTTCTTTCCCTACCCAGCAGAACAGTTGGAGCAGACAGCCTGGCTGTCCAAAAAACTCTTAGAACTCCGCTAAGGTGGAAATGCTTGTTCTCTTCCCCACCTCCTGTCCTGTTAAGGGCCCCCGGGTTTGGCGAATCCTTCGAGAGTGAGCAGTGGGATTCTTGAAAGCTTCCAGCTTGCCACCTGGAAGAAAGTCACTTTCTTTATAACAGGAGAGGCGGGGGTGGCGTGGGCCACAGTTGCTCAGGGAGGGTTGTGGCACCTGGGACTGGGTAGCTTGCCCTTAAGCTTGCTCTGACAAAAAGAGTTTTGAGTTGGTTTTTTGGCTGAGCCTGCCAAGGAAGGCAGGCCCCTGCAGGAGTCTTGGAGGGTCGGATGCAGCGCCGGATGAGGATGAGGCGTGGCGGAAGATGCGTTTGACTCTGCAGACACTGCATCGGGCAGCAGGGGACTCTGGGAGGCTGGTGCAGCCTGAAGGCATGGCTCTTGACAGCCTTCTAGTAGAATCTCTGGAATTGTGCATGTGAGTGGGGATGCCATTTGGGGTATCATTCCTGGAAAGCCTTCCCTGACCACCCCAGTTGCACCAAGTGCACCCTCTGTGCCCACAGTCCTCTGCTTCCCTCTGGTGGCACTCCTTCTGTGATGAAACTTGTTGATGTGTCGGTTCCAAGCACTGAACTATGAACACAGGGGCGTAGACTGTCATTTTTCTGATCCTCCATGCCTAGCCCAGGCTTTGCCATCATAGAGTAGAAGTAACTAGGTGAGTGAGAGAGAGAATGAAGCAGCCCAGAGCCTCTGCTTATTGTAACCTAGTTCTGGTACTAGTCTCCTTTGTGTATCATATCACAATGAGATGTTTTGTTTTGTCTTTTTTAATTAATGAAAATGTTACTACTTCCTGAATGCCAGAAGTCTCACTATCACCCTGAACCCTATACTGACAGGAGACTGTCCAAGAGGCTAAATTCCACCCCTGCTGACTCTAGCTTTCAGCCAAAGGTTGCTACCCCCTCTAACCTACTTTGGTCCCTTGCCATCCAAGAGTGTTGTTACCCAGAAGAGAGCCGTGGAGCTGTCTGTTGACCTCTCGTCTTCTCATTCAGATATGCACTACTTTAAGATCCCTGCCACATAGAGATGCCAAAAGGTTTGAATGGTGTCTTAAACCATTCAGTTTTATTGAAGATACCCCTTTCCCAATAACTATATAACCCTTGTTAATTCCTCTGACATCCAGGTTCTTACCTACTTCTTAACCTACCAGTTCCTGCATTTGTTCATGCCAGACAATTGACACACCTTCTCCTCCCCCCACCCCCCCTGTGTTTCTCTTCAGCATCTAGCACTAATATGATGAGTTAACTACTGAGAGTGTTTTTGTCTGCTTTTATGTATAAACTCTGAGTGTGCAAAAGCTTTGTGTTAGTCACTATCCTGCTCCTGTTCCTAGGGATTAACAAACATTAGAGAACAAACTGAAGGATATAACTGTTACCCTCCTTTTCAGATGGAGAAATGAAAACCCAAAGTAATTAAATATTTCCACAGATGCTCTCCACTATAGAGATCAGGCAAAAAAATAAAAATTCACTCTTACATACTTTAGGGAATTTTTAGCAGCCACAGAACTGAAACACATTGACAGACTCTGTTCTGATTGCACTGACGGTGCCCCACTTTTTGCTGGGGATGGAGTCAAGATTCAAGAAACAGCCCTTTGTGCCCTGGTAAAAGTACCTGGTAACAGGGTAGAGGTTGGTCATTGCTCCGCCTGCTGGCATAACTTTGGTAAGGACCTTGGCTCTACCCCTGCTCAACCCTTTCTGGATGTAGAGTGAATAAGGAAAGCATATATATGCTGACCCAAATCCATAGGTGACAAATAAGACCACTTTCAGACTATAGTCTTATTTCTATTTTTATCTTAATGTGAGCTGATATTTTAAAAATAAAATGTGTAACCAGGTGTGGTAGCTCATGCCTGTAATTCCAGCCCTTAGAAGGCTGAGGTAGGAGGATCACTGTGAGTTCAAAGTTAGCCTGAGCTACATAGCAAGATATAGACCAACTGGGGCTACAATAGAAAGCCTATTTCAAAAACACCAGGAAAAAAAAAAAATGAAAAGGTTTTTCACATCTGGATTTGTGCCTCTTAAAAAAGCTTCAAGTCCTTGTGACACTTAACCACATCACCAGTAGTAATCTATAGTCTCTGAGTGGCACATGCTTCCCTTAGGTACCCTGTGCTCTACAGCCACTTAGTCTCTCCACGCCCCTTCACGCACTTGCATAACCTGTACACTCTAGGTACAAATCCCTTAAGGCTGCTCAGGATCCCAAAAGTCCTTCCAGTTGTTCTAGCCCACCTCACCTGGTCTATTCACTAAAACCGCCACCTTCTTTTACCTCAAGATAAAGCTTAAACAGATACTGCCTTATTAGCAAAAGGTAGTGGTGGGGTGGAGTTGGTTCAAGTCACAAGGAATCATGGAGGCAGTGGGAATAATTTATCGACTTGAGTTGAACTCTCCACTCTGCCTCCTACTTTGGGTCTCAGAGCCTTTTTCTTCTCCTATTTGAGCCTCATCAACACTCTCACAAGAAAATGTGAAGCAACTTGGTGCATAGAGGCTCTTCTGAGGTAGCAGGACGTTGCTGAGTGGCCAAACCTTAGTGTCCTCAGCTGTTGGATCTACCAGCTATTTTTAATCTCTCTTAAACCATTCAGCTAGTAATCTATATGTGCACTCAGCCCAGAGGGGACTTACCTAATATACCAGGGGTGGGGGGCGATGAGCTCATCCTATCCTCTCTACCTCCCATCTCTCTCTAGCATCCCCTGGGATAGTCCACTTTAGTTTAAAGGGACTCCAGTGTTCCCTTAAGGAACTGGAGGTGATCAGTCAATACCTTTATTAAAACCATTTCATTATATTTAATTCACTCAGCAAGCTTCAAATTTATATCTGTAACCAGGGCCTTTGAGGTATACAGAGGGCCAAAGTGGTCCCTTGGGGACCTCCCCTTTAGAGTCCCTGCTAGGGCAGTTCTGCCACCTCGTTCCTCTTTGTAAGTCAGAAGAGACTTAATGCACAAATGCCACTGGCCTTTGAAGATGAAGACTTATCCACTCAGGGTTTTACATTTTTAATTTCCTAAGCCAGGCATGGTGGCACACACCTTTAAGTCCAGCACTCAGGAAGCAGAGGCAGGCGAATCTTTGTGAGTTGGAAGCCAGCTGGGGCTACAGGGAGACCCTGTCTCAAAGAGACCAAAAAAAAAAAAAATTTAATTTCCTTAAAATATCTCAGAGTTATAAGCTTAAAGTCTGATAATAAATGGATAATTAAGATCCTAACACCTTTACTTACTGTACCTAGAATTTTTGAAAACAGGGATTGTTTTAATTAAATCATCTTAGGATATATTTTATACGTGATTTTTATTGCTCAATATGTGGCGGTTACACTAAATTTTAATTTTTTTAGTTTTTTTTTTTTTTTTTTTTGGGCTTTTTGAGACAGGGTCTTCCTGTAGCCCCAGCTCTCCTGGAACTCACTATGTAGACTAGGCTGGCCTTGAACTCACAAAGATCCACCTGTCTCTGCCTCCCAAGTGCTGGGATTAAAGGCGTGTGCCACCAATGCCGGCTACTAAGTTTTAATTTTAAAAAAGTTTTCTGCAACTTTATTCTTACCTCTCCTTTTCACATACCCCACTGCACCAGACGGGTAAACACTGGGTTAGGCCAGTTGTGGCACACATGTTGTCATGCCCAGTAGGCCTCTTGCCTGACATTCATTTATTCTGCACTGTTTAATGCCAGGCTCTAGACTAGCTGCAAAAGCAGAAGTGATTGAAACCTGGTTCCTGCTCACAAGGAGCTAATGATCTATAGAACATGAATCCAGTAATTTTAATAATACCAGAAGAATTGTAATAACACCAGAATAGGGTTGGCTTTCTCTGAGTGCAAGAGAAAAGTTTCCCTGCAACCTCATAAGTATCTTTTGGAAGTGTTTCAGTCTCTTGGTTTGTTGACTAATGTAGAAAATGATAATGAATCCAGGTGCACAGTGTTAATGCAGGAACCAAACAAGTACTACCTGTTATACCTTTAGCCCAAGAAGTAGCTAAAATATAGGTGCTTGGTGTTGAGGATGCCTAAGACATGATAGCTCTAAGAAAGCTGCATCAGAGAAGTATCTCAGAACCCAGTCTTCATGGTTAAGCAGAATTTCTCCAGAAAGCAGGTGGGAGAAACTAGTGCAGAGAGAGGAAGTAGAAGAGGCAAATATTTCCTGGCGTCATTCAGAGAGCAGGGAGAACCCAGGTTGCAGAGAATGAAAGGGTTCTTGTTCCATCACAAGTGATTTGGACAGTTGAGAAATCACTTAAACATTTTAAGTAGGCAGGTCAACCAAATGTGCTCTGGTACTTTCTCTCTGATGCCATGGGAGGAAGTAATTGTCAGTGGGAGAGGCAATTGTGGTTGCCAGATTCCATGTCTCCCTCACCCCAGCCTAACTACTAACCAGATCCTCTGTGCTTTGTTCTACCCTATCCCAGACCTACTCAACCAAAGGAATCCATTGCTTGGTTGTTCCAGGGGATTCTGAGTATGGCTGGATCTAGGAACTGCTAAATTGAGGAGGCCTAGGTTTTTAAAAAGAGGGTAGTGATGGAAGATACAGCTCAGTAGTAGAAAACCTGCCTAATGTTTAAGGCCCTGGGTTTGAGCCCCAGCAACAATACCTTTGGAAAAACAAAATGCCTTCCCCAGCTTCTCCACTTGTTGATTTGTTAATAATATTCAACTGCTAATCTTCTATCAGTCTACTGTTTGCCTCTGCTGAATGTGGGAATTCAGTGGCCCTTGGAAATCCCACAGTATTGTAGAGACAACAGATTTAAAACAATAAGTATGAAGTCACTTCTATTCTAGAGATATGTAAAAAAAGCATAGGGCAGTCCAAAGCAAAGTCCAGTTTATTCTGCCTATGGCCTTAGAGGATGTGACATCCAAGCTGAGACTTCAGAAAAAAAAAAGAAGAGGCAGTGTATTATGTTATGTAATTGGGGAAAGGAATGTTTAATGGTTCTTCATGACAGGACACAGAAACAGGAAAGGACTAAGGAGAGGCAAGCTTGTATCCTAGGAAGAGTCTGGGTTAGCACCCTTTCTGTCATCCTTCAAACTAGGTGGCCATTAGCTGACTAGCAAGAGGAACATGCTGCAGTTCCATAAACCATCTATCTCCCCTTTGTTCTCTATCCAAAACTCTTGGCTCCCTTTTTTATTTCCCCCTTTCATTATGAACTAAGTAGATATCTCTGTTCTGAAAAGGGGCATGGGGAAACTAAGGTAGGAAGTAGGGGCAGAGGAACTGCAAGCACTGAAGATTCTTATTAAGAAAATGAGGGCCATGTTGTATAACATGGATTTGGGATTCAAAGATGCCTTGACTTGTTTAGTCTTCTGTCCTGTGCTTAAATTTGGTTTGGGCAAGTCTCACT